CGGTTAATGACCGTTCGAAGTTACAGCGGCACTGAAAAAAGTGACTTATGACCATTTTTCATACCTATGACCATTGCAGCATCCTCATGGTCATGTGATTTACATTCAGATGCTTGACAACTGACTCACATTTATGACAGTTGCAGTGTCCTGGGGTCATGTGATCCCCTTTTGCAACATGATAAAGTCAATGGGGAAACCAGATTCACTTAACAGCCTTGTTACTAATTTAACAACTGCAGTGATTTGCTTAAGAAATGTGGCTAGAAAAATCATAAAATGGGGCAATTAATGTTACCGTGCACTGTGTGGCTTTAAATTACAAGAAGGCATTTTATTAATCTTTTGGGACATTTATCACTGGCATACCCATTTAGTTTAATGAGTAAAAATGTCAGTTTTCTACGTATGTGGAATGAAATTAGCCCAATAAAACAAAATTTGGTTGCTTGTAAAAGATTGAATTAGTTTTAAGAAGTTATCAAACAAGGTGGAAAAATTTACATTTGGAGTTTATTATGGATATTGACTTGAAACAAATTAAAGTTGAAACTTTGTCAGTGAACAGATTACTTTTAATTTACCTTTAAGTTAAACCCAATTTAATAAATAGATCTGATTAAACCTCATACTATAGGTCTACCTTTACATTTAATACATAATTAATATATATTAATAATAATACCTCCAAATCGCAAGACATTGGCTTTATTCTTATTCTTCCCCTCTACAGTTTGAATATGAAGTATAAAAGACTAAAAAGAGATTTTCGTAGAGATCCCAGCCTTTGAACTACCCAAAGAACTGAAACAGCAAAGTTTCGCTATCGGGCAAGCTTCCACGCCAGCCGCCTTTCTTTCCTCTCGCTTTGCCTCTTTTTAACCTCACACCCCACTTTATGTAAGGGAAGGCAAAAGGCTCATTCACCCTCTCATGAAAGACAGCCTCCATGTTTATGTGTCTCCCAAGCCACCATCGGCTTCCACACCACATGGTCCGACCCAGCCAATCAAGCCATGCTCTGGCTGTGGTGCTCCGGTGCCCCATGGCTAGAGGAGGGAGACAGTGCTGGAGGGGATCCTGCTTACACCGTACCACCAGCAGGGCATTTTCAAAAGCAAAGAAGGGTAGGAAGGGCAACAATAGGAAAAGAATGCAACTCTGGAAAATCCGTCAAAAAAAGGTGCCGGAACTCGGTTCCGATGCTTTCTATGACAAAAAATGCCTGCATTAAAGTAATAAATACATAGGGTTATAGACTTTTAGCCTATTCAAAATTAAATTCCATTAAATTTGAAATTACAAATGGAGCCTGATTCTCTTTCAAGATGAGAGAAATCTGCATTTATGTTTATTGAGGTACATTATGTAGGAAAATAGCTTAAAATCTAAATCATGGGTGTCATACTCGATCATGTCACATGACTTATCATGACCCATTGTGACTTTTTTTGCCTTTGCGGAGCCGTGTGGACTTGGCCTGTGCATGATGCATCCAGCCCACGGGCCGCCAGTTTGACATCCCTGATCTAAATGCTTCAAGAAACTCAACACTATTTTGGTGTACCTTTTATCCTCACAGTGCATATATTCCAGATAAAATTTAAATGTACTAGACTTGACCAAGAGCATGAAATTCAATGATACTTCTAAATAAGCATGAATAAGAATTGTTGTAAGATGTCTTTAATAAATGTAGATACTACACTTTTAAGGCTTAAATCCATAAGTCTAACATATCTAAAGTAGGGGGCATCTGCAATGAGATTAAAAAGCCAAGATCAAAAATACAATTAAATCTCTGGACCTTTTTTACATATATCCTAAATTTGATAGTTTACTTTCACTAATATTTATGATTTATTTTTTAAATTGCATTTATGGTTGCATACTACAGGTATAATAGAAGTGATAACACTGAACAATATTTACAGAAATAAATTCTAATTGGTATAAAATGTGTAGTTTACTGAGATTATGTGCTTTTTTACACATGTCTAGCAAAATATCCCTGGATAATAAGGAATCTTTAAATGTTAATTATTTTCCCATAGCCCTGAAGGCAAGGAGTCTTCATAAACATTTCTGTCTGGTGAAACCCAGCACGTATTATGGTGAATTCTTCCCAACAAAGCATATATTTAGTCAAAGCTAAGGATAAGCTCCTCATAAAGCTTGAAGGACAGTTAGGATGTCTCATCTCCCAAGACTGATGGATCCAAATTATTTTTCACAGCTGCCTAGGGAATGTATACACTAATATTGGAGGTGGTCAATATTCAGATTAACAGATTAAGCTTTTCTTTTCTCTTTTCAAATACAAATGAAGCAGTTCTTTAGCTGATATGAAAAATATACAGATGAAAAAAGTAATAATACAAGACCTGCTTTGATGATAGTGATGGTACAGAAAGAACCTTAAGCCTCTGACATCACTGTATTTATACAGTGCCACCTGGTGGAATGATTCTGAATGAATAAACTCTACTTAGACTAACAGCCTTTAATCCAAAGACAGACTGTCATAACTTGTGCTGACAAGCATGCATTTCCTTTTCAAAAATAACTTCTCTTTATTCTGTCAGCCTATTCATATGTAATCCTTCATGCATGCCTACACAACTTGTCTGCCCGCACTGTTGTCAGGGCCTGACTTGCCTAACCAAATTGAATGGAAGCTGTAAGGGAATTACAAAGCAAGTATGTCCACATAATGCGTTTCCTTTTGTCTGCTTGATGATAGCTAATGATTGCACATTATCAACCTTGTGAAAGTTAGACTTTGTTTGTGAACATGCTGGGTTATCATTATGACTGTCAGATATGTTGAGCTACACTTCCCAGAACTCTCACCTGACAGGCTAGGAATTATGGAAGATATATCCATATATACAAATTATGAGGAAAAACTATGATATATTAACATGTCTTAGATTCAAACTTGATCCATTTTGGAAGGAATAATGAGGAAATCTCTGCTTTTCAAAAAAAAACAAAAAACCAGCCTGTTTTCCTGGAACTTCTAAGTAAAGACAATCCACCCAATTCAATTGCAATGAAGCTTATCGTTTTGAGGCAGTTTGTTTTGTGTCTCTCGAGTGGCAACAGCCTACTTCAAATTTTTGTGATAAAATTGTAAATCTCCCCAAAGAGTCTTTTCAACTGTAGTTTCCGTTCCCACTCTTCAAAATGATCTCCTGCATGACAATGAAACATTAAAAGAGGCTTGTAATTGGAATCACATAATATCCATGGCATCAGGAAATAAGATTGGCTATAAAAGCCCCCTAGGCACGTATTTTATATATTTCATGTATTCAAATCTTCTCTTTCCTACAAGCACTCAAAATTCTGGGGAAGCTGATAACATTAGAAAGAAAATTGATTGCCTTCCTTAATCCATATTTTGGGATATGCAGAATCATACTGCCTCTGCAGAATTTCTTTAGATATTATGTCTAACATGGCCCAACTCTAAGGATGGTATCAGCTTGTCATCTGGATGACCTGAAAAGGTGCATTGCAAATATTAAATTAAGAGCTTAGTAAATTAGTTTCATTTGTGCTTTGTGTGTGCTCATGAATGCATCTATTGATTGATGTCTGTTTTACATCATGCAACTGTCAAATTGGGATCTGACAAGCAAACATTTATGACCAAATAATTATGTTAATCTTAAAACATGCCACAATATGTATCCCTACTCTTAAAACACAATGCTGGGCTTTGTATATAAGTATCTCTTTACATGAGGAAGGGGAAACCTCAACAGTAACAAGCAAAAGTTTAATTTGAACCTTGTTCTTCATTATTCCACATCTGATAATCATAGGGATAGCTTATAACCAAATCACAGTGTAGTTGGATCTGATCTGAAGCTGAGCATACATTAAATTTAAAAATATTAATGTGATAAATTCTTGTAATCCAGGAATTAATTCTATGCTTCTCACGATTAGCTTTTCTGTATTTTAAAAACTTTTTATGAGATTGACTACCATGTAGAAAAAGCAGTAAAGGATCTGTCACCATTGGATTCCTGGGGTGATCAGCGATAGCATGGTTGATGGTATTATTGTATTCTGATTTGAAGAATGTGCATGATGTTTCCTTCTTATTGTTCTATTCAGTGATGATCCTGGAAGGTTGGCTAGGCTGAGAGAATGACTGGCCAAAAGTCACCTAGTTTCCATGACCATGGTAGACTAAAATTTAGGTCTCCTCATTCCTACTCCGCTAGTCCAAAACTTTAATTAATCATTATTTCTTTGGCGGGGCAAGTATGAGAAATGAAAACCAGTTTACCACATATTTTCAATTGTACTTTCTTACAAATTGTCAATAAACTTACATACATTATTTGAGGTGTTGTGATTTCTAGCCTTAGAAAAAATGGAAATTATTTTTCTGTGCATTATGCTAGCTCATAGGAACAGCACTCTAAAGCAGGTTATAAAACAGGATAGATAGCAATGCTTCTCCATTCCTGGCTGGACAACAGCACACACTAAAATTCTTAAAAGCAGAAGCTTGGAGGAGCTACTGCTGATACAGGAAAGGAGGGAAAAGATCAGTGTAATAAAGCAGTGATAACTAGCTAGGGAAGAAATCAAAGCATTATGCTTTCCTAAACTCCTAGTTCATTTTTTTCTGACTCTATTGTCCAGTGACACACTGAGAAAAACTATATTATGTTTATGAATCCAGAATACCATGATCCATACATTCTCACCAATGTCAAAAAATAAAAGCTTCATAAGAATAATGAATTTAACAAGGGTAGGTAAAAAACTGGAGATCCATGGAAGTAGTAATGCCATGGTTTCCTAGGCCAATCTACTCAGGGTATGTTTACCCTGAAAAAAATTAAAATTATATACAGTTGAATCTATATGAAATAGTGATATTAGTGTTTCGTAAGATCATTTTCCTATTTTCTTGATAGAAATCATGAAATTTGGATTGTCAACTCTTAAAAAAAATCTTATACTTCGCAATCTAGCATTTGAGGTATTTTATTGATATAGCAATCTTATTTCAAAATGGCATTATTACAAAATGTAAAAATCCAGCTAAACCAGAAAAACAGAGAATATTTTTCCTGGGCCTTCAAACTCATTGGTCTTATCCTCCAAATTCCCCAAAATTACAATTTCCATTGCTGGCCTTATTACACAGGTGCAAGATGTGCCAGAATGGCCTTGTATAGATAAATACATCGAGATAGGTAAAAGCTGTAAAGCTAGCTGCATGCAACAGGTTCTACCAGGAAAAAATCCCCCTTGAAGATAACCATGAGATCTAAAGAGCAATGCAGAGGCAAGAGTTCTGTTTTAGTCGTCTTTGTCTTTTGCTCCATGTTTCAGGATGCGTGTGAACTCAATGTAATTGAAATTGCTCTTTTTATCAATTGGGGCCTCTCTGAACAGCTCATCAACTTCTTCATCTGTAAACCTGTCTCCCATTGTTGTCAACAATTCCCTCAAGTAGTCTTCTTGAATAAAACCTAGAAATATGAAAAGATTTCAAAAGAGAATTTTAATACAAGAAGTTTTAGTATAATGTATTATACACAAAAAATGCAAAATTAATCAAAGGGCTTTATTGAAAGTACTACAAGTGCTTTTAAAATTCTACTAATTTTGCAGTTATTTATACTTTTAACAAATAATTAATTGCATGTACAAATAAAATGTTTGTAGTTATTTAGCAAATACAATTACTACCGTGTTTCCTCGAAAGTAAACCCAGTCTTACTTTCTTTTGGGCTCTGAAGTAAGCACTAGGATTTACTTTTTGCCGGTACCAGTAGGCCACAAGTGCGCAGGGGTGGGGCAAGGCCTGTGCATGGGATGGAGAAGTAACATGGCAGTGACAGCATGGTGGCGGACCAGGTACGGTACCAGGGCAGGCGAGGCACATGTCCTTCCCATGCCAGGACAGTCCTTGCAGCCCCGGGGCGGCCATGCTGGGTGGAGGCGGAAAGGGTACCGAGGTGGGGGTGGCCAGGCTGAACAAAGTGGCCAGAGGCCTAGGGAGGGAGGGTGGTGAAGCGGGCAGGCATCCTGCCATCAGCATCAATACCTGCTGCCCCTTCCCAGTGTAGCTGGAGAGTTTGCCACACCACTTCCCAGATGCCCTCGCTTCCCCCAGGAACTGCATTTCTTTCCTTACCTGACTTCCAGCCCTGTGCCATTTCTCCTTCATGATCCGCCACCGCTGCGTGCATGGAAACAAAAGAAGTTGGGGGGGGAAGGTCAATCAATTCCAACTTCTTGTGAAAAAAAAATTGATTGACCTTCCCCCCCCCCAACTTTTGTTTTCCTCGTCCTGCATGTGCGGTGGAGCTGAAGGACGGGGACAGACCCTGGGCGAGCCAGATTGCTTCAGCTGTGAGCAGCCTGGCCTAAGGTTTCCATCGCCCAGGCTTCCTGAAGCTGATGGGAACTGCGGCCTGCTGCAGCTGAACAATTTAGCTGAGCCGCAAAATTGAACTTGCAGCGGTGGAATCGGCAGCAAGTAAGGCGGGGGGAGGCACGTGATCCAGCCTGCCAAAAAAACTATGGTGGGACAGAGTGAGTGGGGTTAAGTAGGGCTTAATTTGGGGGTAGGGCTTATATTAGTCCGAACCCCCCAAAATAAGCGAAGTCTTATTTTATCACTAGGTCGTATTTTGGGGAAAACACGGTACTAAATAATTGCAATTTTTTCCACTTTAAATAAAATTTATGGATTCAAAAATACTATTTGCATGAGTAGAAGTATGAAGTCTCACAGACTTCAGTTTTGTCAGTTATGGCTGTTACCAAATTAAAGTTATGACTAAGATCTCAAGTAAAACTATTTCAGCAAATGACCCAGGCTACTGGAAATAATGAAGTAAAATGTGAATGATGCTGTGGTATTGTTATCGAATAGCTAAACATGTCAGAGAAGGATCAGAAATTTCCAGTTCTGACTGGATGAGAAAGCAATACGCCAGGGATTGGATCCCAGGTTGAATCTGAATACTAAACTCAATATAAGCCAAATTCCTTTGCAGAAAATATCCCTAATTTTTGCAGTTTTAAAAATTAAATGTCACGCAGCCTTGCTTTTCAGGCAACTATTTTGCCATGTTATTTGGAAGGTGTTTCATTCCTTTGCCTTGAACTGGTATATAATTTTACATATAACTAACCAAGATTATATAATCAAAATCAAAAGCTATGCAATTACTTGTGATACTCTATAGCTTCTTACCTGTTGCTTCTTCATCAAAACATGCAAAGGCGTTCCTGATTACATCTTCTGGATCAGTACCATTTAATTTTTCGCCAAACATTGTGAGAAACATCGTGAAGTTTATGGGTCCTGGAGCCTCGTTCATCATGGCATCTAGATAGTCATCAGTTGGATTTTTCCCTACAATCAATTGACATTTAAAATTGAACAATATGAACAGTTGGAGGGTTATATTTCAAGATGCAATGCTAACGTATTAAATAAAAATTCCTTACACTTTATCTGGGGAGAAAATTAGCTACAGGAAACATAGCTGACGTAAAATAGAAAAAGTGATTACCAAGTGAAGCAAGCATATCATGCAGATCTTCTTTGTCAATAAAACCATCTCTGTTTTGATCAATCATGTTGAATGCCTCTTTAAATTCTTGAATCTGTGACTGATCAAACATAGCAAATACATTGGACGTAGCCCGCTGAGGGCGCTTCTTAGTGGTCTTTGTCTTTGCTCTTTTGCTTGACATGTTGGCTGCTGGATTCTACGAAGAAAGAAAATCACTGAAATAAGGAACAGTATAGAAAGGAAGCAACAATCTATCTTCAAGGCTGTTTAATTTAATTTAACAATTCATCATCACGACAGTTACAATTTGTTCTAAACAGAGAAATCTTCACTGTAAAGCATCCTTGGGAAAAACAAAAATAGCAACAGATAGTGTGAAGAAAAAGCCAGCATGCTGTATTCAAATACAGAAAAATGAAATTTAAATAACCTGTTACTCCTGAACTTCACAAAAGTTCATATCCTATAACATTCTCGTTTTATTTACACTTTAGGGAGAAAGTAGGAAGGTGCGTATGTATCAGACCTGGTAGCGCATAATTTTATAGATTTGGGAATGCAAACCTTTCAATTGAACAACCTGATAAATGAAGATAAATCCGTTTTCAATTGCCCATTAAAATATGTTTTGATTTCTTTGCTGTTGAACCAAACAATGCTGAATTTCTAACTGAATTAGCAACTAGGTATTAAAAGCTATTTAAAAATGAAAACACTTTTTGAATTCAAGTATCTGAATTTTATTTTAATTTATATACTAGAGTAAAACCTTACCATAATTCAAAATAGATTACAGCCCAATAGTTTAGTCCAAACTTCCAGACAGCAGGGAAAGATGCTGCTGCTGGTTATATTGAAAGGGGAGATCTATAAATAGGTAAGCCTGATATCATCTACTGATTAACTTCACAATTTTAAACTTGTGTTCCATCTATTACAACAGTCCCCTGACATATAAGAACACAAATTACTGTCCGACTAAAAATAAGCCCATGTACAAGTCACTCAACAAACATTCATTACCCCATAGCTAGAATAGCCAACAAGAATAATATTTGGAATCTTCCATGGAAGCATTTTCAACTTTCTTTCAGATGTTAAATGATCTAAATCAAAGTTACTAGAATTAAAAAGATCATAATTTTCCACTAACAGTTAGATGTAAAATCTTTCCAGGTATAATTGTATACAACTACTGCTGCAATTATCCTAGAGACTACTACATTTTAGCCTAAAATATTATTTATTCTGCATCATACAGTAACATATGCTGAATACATGAAAAATTGTTGGTCAAGTTTCCTAAATAACTGTCCCAATAGCTGAGAAAACCTAGTGTGAAAAAAATAATTTAAAAATATCTGCAATGGATTTTATTACAAGAACTGACATTAGAAATTGGATCACATACTAAACTCCAATCTTTGGATAATCACTCCACCTTCAATTTCTGGGAAAAACATTCAAGAGTTTAAAAAATATTAAAAATTATCACAAATAACCAAACTTCAAATTGTCCTCAACTTACAACCATTTGTTTAATGGCTATTTGAAGCTACAATGGGCACTGAAAAAAGTGACTTATGGCAGATTCTCAAACTTAGCACTGTTGCAGCATCCCCATGGTCACATGATCAAAATGCAGGCGCTTGGCAACTGGCATGTATTTATGACAGTTGCATTGTTCCAGGGTCATGTTATTACCAATTTGTAACCTTCCCAGCTGTCTTCTCACAAGCAAAGTCAATGAGGGAAGCCAGATTTACTTAATAACTGCATGATTTACTTAAAACTGCAGTGATTCACTTAATTACTGTGGCAAAAAGTCATAAAATGGGGCAAAACTCACTCAACAACTGCCTTGCTTAGCAACAGAAATTTTGGGCTCAGTTGTGATGGTAAGTTGAGGACTACTTGTACAAACAGTACTCTGGGAAATCATTAAAATTCCTTTTCAACATAAATGTAAATATAAAGTCTGGTTACCATAATTAAGACAAATTTAAACTTAGGAATTTACAACTTCCAAATATTTTTTTATTTTTTATTCATAATTTTAAAATATAAACTAGAACAGAACAAAACTAAACAGGACAAAGAACAACCAATCAAACAAAAAAACTGCATAAAAATAGACATATATTGCCGGCCCTAATTGAATACAGATAAATATATTTCAACATTAATAGTTTCCCACCTTTACAGAACAGAGCTACAATATATAAGCTTCTATGACTCTATTTACCCAAGCAATTTGACCTTCCATTTACTGTAAAAAAAAAAGCAGTTAATAGGTAAGCCTAACAGCAAAAACTAAATTAACCCTCTGTTAACAATTTATTATTGTATTTATCCTGTAGAAGGTTGGCAACAGCTTTGATTTCAGTCGTATCCACTACAATCATTGTCTCTGGTCTGTCCAGGATCAAATATCCTTGATTGATTCTTTATGATAAAACTTTTCCATAAAGTTATAACTAGGGTTTTTTCATATAATTGCATTTCATTTCCCAAAAAGTCAGATCTCTGTTGTAAGTATTTCCACAGCATATGTTTTTCAAAAAGTCCATGAATTTTCTTAAGAAAGTCCAATTCTTTACTGATCCACCATCACTGAATTCATGGCCCTTTCAGCCTTCTTCACCAAACCTCTTAAGTTTCCAACCAAGTTCTTCCACCCCACCACCCTGCCAGCAACAAATTAATTTCCAATCCATCTGACTGCAAATCTGATTCTGCTTTTGCCTGTATCTGATTATCCTCTTTAAGTTGATTTATAACTGTTGTTGCTTCATTAAACCTATTATCTACATTTTTGTAGGTTAAAAAGCATTCTTCCTTTGAAGGCTTTCAAGAAGGTTTTTGCTATTTTCATTTTTAATATAGTCCAAGAACATAGGCATTTCCTCTTAAGGACAGTCTTTTCCACCAATGGCTAACCACAGGAAGGACTGAGATAATTTTTCCCACCATACAGAATGAATAGAAGAGACAAGGGGGAAAGTTCCTGTCTCTTTTTTAAAAAAAGGACCAGAGAAATATTCAGAAATAAAGTTCAGTAAAACAGCAAAGTTCTTATAAAAACTGGTAAAATACAAATTCTTTACTGCAAGAGTCCAGTGTACATCAGATTGCTTTCACTACAAAAGAAGAAATCTTCACTCCGTCAACTTCTATGTGGCAAAAGCAAAAGTATTTTGTTACTCAAAAAAAATTGTAAAAATATTTTTAAAAAATCACGTTTATAATCCAGCAAGGTGGTAAAGGATAGTTCAGCATTCAACCAGATGTTTAGCATTTAAAATGTAAGTCAGAAGCAAAAGAAAACAATTTCAAAAAGTGATGTTACAACAAAGGTGCGCTTAAAAATCTGAATAAGTGATAGGAAAAGATGGAGAACCTACTCTCTGACTGTTCTTACTGTGAATTGCAACCATTAAGACTCCTCATCACAGGTAAGTAATTGCTATGATCCGAGAGTCATCCAGGGTTGATCCTAGTTGCTCCCATTAAAATCTGGGCAGCAAGCTACAGAAGAACCAGCTTTGGCAGCAAAAATCAGCTATTCGTCAGCAGGGAGGGGGACTCCCAGTCACTCAGGGCACCATTTTCAGAGGATCCTGACTTCCAAATATCTTATAATGATTGAGACTAAATTAATTAATTAAAATTAGAACTGGCAGAAGACAAAAATAAACATTTCTATTTGTTTATATACAATCTTAAGGATCATTTTTTTGGGGGGGAATTTAGGAACTTTTTGTCTGTTCTGCTTTAAAGCAACTGAAACTCAAACACAAATACTTTACAAATAACTCAAGGCCGTAAAAATATCTAACACATCTTTTTCTTCATACTTTCCCCAGATCAACAACTCTGTGAGGTGAGTGACTAGCCCAAAGTCACCTAGCTGGCTTTCATGGCTAAGGAGGTACTTCAACTCACAGTCTCCTGCTTTCTAGCTTGGTGCCTTAAGCACTAAATCAAAGATGTACGATGTATATTAATAGCTGGGGGGGGACCCTACTTATAAATCAAATACTTTAATCAATTTTAAATTATCAGACTTCTAGAAGGTAAATGCAAAGCGGTGTACTATTCAGGATTCTAAAGCGTTCATTATATTCATCAGTCATCACTTCCCCCCCCCCCCCCGTTCCTCTAATAGAGTAGCCGCCAACCTTTTGGGCACCAGGGACTGGTTCCGTGGAGAAAGGTTTGTCCGTGGATGGGAGAGGACATGGTTTTGCATGCTGGCTACATCCCACGGTGCCGCTCCATGGGCCTGGGATGGGGACCCCTACTTTAATCAATCCAGCTTATACCAAATGAGCATGCTCAATCCTCACTGGCCTCTTTTAGTGATATCTTTTTCCCTCCTTTTAAAATTATTTTTGTGTTTCTGAAAAACCCAAGATTCCAAGGACAGCACCTTTCTCTTATGAGTGAACAGCATCTTTTCAGCAACCTGGAGCCAAAAGCATCGAAATCTGATTTATAAAAGTAAGGCTTATAATCAAATGATACTATTTCTACCACATGATTTTCTGATTTCTCCTGCTTGAAAACAACCAGCATTTTAAGCCTATTGGGTACACTTAAATCTTAAGTGAATTTTTTTTAAAAAAAAAAGTTTGAACTCTGGGATTTTCAGGATCCGTTAATACCACCATATAGTGTAGGAGATGATGTATCTCAGTTACATTGGTCTTGCAATTAAACAGAAAAGACAATTAATATTTATTACTCCTATCAAAATATAATAAAATGTAAACTGCACCTGATTGCCAAAGTATAAAAAATGTTTACATTCATTACCTTTTATTCCAAGTTACAATTGACTTGGGTGTTTACAATTTGTTCAGTTTGGAACTTTATAAAAAGCATTTCTAAGTGACCATCAGAAAAGCTTCCTTTTTCAAAATGGTGGTATAGGAGAGAAGCACTAATGACTTTGGACAGATATAAACAACATTTTATTTCACACAAGTCCTGTTCTACTTTGCATCCTTAAAACATAAGAACTTAGGTAAATTTATGAACATTAAGTTGATTTGCCATTAGATTTCATTGTTGAACATTCTCCTAAAATGTGCTGCATGATAGCACAAAACAAAACCCAAAAAATCTATATTCACTTCAAACTTTATTTTCCAGAGTGAGGGGGGCAGGAAACCATTTACTGTCTTTCCAGTTTACGCGTTCACTATACTGAATTTGAGATTATGACTCGGAATACAGAAATAGCCTATTTTGTTAGAAACTATTTTTAAAAAAGTTTTGGTTTTAGAATTGGGTTTGCCATAGCAATCAATACTATAACTGGAAACAAGCATAGTGCAAATCTTCTTTAACATGGCTTCCTTTGGAATGTGCTAAGCAGAATGAAAAGGGCTGGGAAAATATTTCAAATTCCTCACCACTATCAGCACATTTTCAGAGCCCAAGGTTTTCCAGACTTATTTTTTTTTTCAGTTATTTTTCACACGGAAACAATAAACATCTTCTTGTACTAAAGTCTATGAATTCTAATACAAATCAGTTTTATAATTATTCTGAGCTTATTTTGTTTTCATGAAAATACTACGTACGTATGTTCATAATGAGTAGGAAAGATTTATTTGCTTCTCATATTGCACAGTAATAGAAGAAAGAAGCATATATTCCAAATTTGAATTCAAAAATCATATTTTAGGTCTTCATTTTGGAACGAAATCAAATTCTCAAGTGTTATTGAATATTCATTCCTTAAAAGAATAGATCAGAGAACATCTTTCATAAAAGTAGCTGTGTAGGTAGTCCTCTACTTACAACAGTTTGTATAGTGACCATT